CAAGCCATATATCGATTTGACGTAGTAAAAGTACTTCAACAACCCGAGTTCTAATTCCGCATCCATTGGTCTCTAGAGTATAACCAGCAATGAAGAACACTACTCACAATAAATTATTAATAAAGTAGGTTAAGTTATTTTTATCATCACAATCATCTTGTTGTGACAAGTATGAGTGTGTTCAAATAAATAATACACAAGGAATGGCTATTATGATTATTGCTGTCCAATCGTTCGACTTGATCGAAAATGCTTTATGTCAACTAGGCCTACTTATTTATTTAACAACAAAAGTAAATTTGAGTAAATTAAAAAAAATACATGCTCTAATTTAAAAATAATAAACTGTAACAGGTATCCGATACATACTTTCTCCATTAGCTAGTTAACAACCCTTATCATGTGTATCTTAAGAGGTGGGGGTAACAATGACATTTTAAGGTAATAATCAGAAAATTTTCAATGTTTACATCAATGGGGATTGTATCGTTTTGTTAAGAGTTAAAAAGAGTATAACATACTAAATATTTATCAAAATCATTCGAACCATATTGTTGAAAATGCTATTTTATGGAAGTTGTGTAATGAAATCCCCATTAAAAATAATTAACCCAAAACATTTGAAAAAACTCCGAGGGATTAATTCATCAAAATCTGACCACAGTTGTTGTTTGTAGCTCTGTAACATCCACACACACAGTTAACACGTTTGTATAAAAGTTGTACAAAATCGAGCTACTGTGCTAACGGACACATTATATGAATTTGAACTGACATTGTTTTAGCCACTTGGGACATCAAAACGAAAAAGTAAACCGATCCCGCGTGTATATCTTACCATGAGAACTACGGTAATAGCTTATTCCCTACATGGAAAATGCACTGAAAATGCAACTTTGTCACAATATCCACAAACGACCGTATGTCCATAAGTACCCCATTTTGTATGTTGTATGTCAAAGAGTCGCCGAGCAATATCAGCAACGATAAAACTCCCTGTTGCCAAGTAGTAAACTCGACTTGCATTATTTTAGAGGATATTACCATGTGTATTTTATATCTAACGTGAATGTCGTCCATAAATCCAGTAAAGTATGTGAAGCATACAGTTTGTTTTACCATTTTATAAACTACTATACACTAAGCGACATTTTATTGTAGGGTTATGTGACTTATTTATTGAGTGAAAATAAGTGGATTCTATGTCAATTTCGCTTGACACCTGCAATAGTTTCTTGCTTCGTAAATAAATTTAAAAACTCTACCAACGCTGTTGAGATGATTTACAAAAAAAGTACAGTACGAGTACAGTAGTAATTGGCCGAATGATTGCTTGCCATATAATGAGATCATGATATCGACTAACCTATTAATGCGTTGGCTACTATTGAACCTGTATTTGTACGGTTCTGACAACAACAACTGTATTTGTTGTATTTCTATACAACGCAAAACTGTACCCATACGAGTAGGTAATAAGCTATCGATTAACCAAAAGCCGTAATATTTCGTTATAAGTAGCCTACCATACGATGCGTCATTGATTATATCTTATTTAATTCTTTTCCCATTACAAAGTCCTGAGAAATCATATTTTTTAACTGTACTGAATGATTTTTGTTTAACGTGAGTTTTAGGTGAAGCCACACAGGCTAACATTTCATTACCAAATGAATGAAGAATTTTAAAACAGGTACATTTAATTAACGTACTATTTATGGATCAATCACATCTGTGTATTTTCTGTCAAACAATACCTTAAAGATCATTACTAAAAGACCTATCTAGAGATAAGCAATCTTTAATGAATTATTTATTACAGTATTTAATCAAAATACAAGTTACATCTCCACTCTAGTCTGTGTGCGTTCGTGTGACGTTCGTTTACATTGATATCGTGGTCTATCAATTTTCACTTTATAAAAACAACTTTCCCTAAAATCTAGTCTCTGGACATTTTTAACATTGACATAATTGTTTTCAAGTGTAAGGAATCAATCGCACAATATATATGGGTTAGTATGATATATCTCATCTCCAAATAATGTTCAAAGTTGCCATTTGCTGTCTATACTAGTACAGGCCACAACAAACACTCAACAATAATGTATACTGCACTTTAGTTTACCGTAAGGAGCTTATTCGGTTTGATAACCAAAAGTCCAGTGAATTTATACAATGGACGGAGTTTGTTTAGGGTTTCTCGGCAGGATAAGGAAATCGAATCACACAATCAAGGAGTATTGTCCAGAATGTCTCGTCTGACATAGCGTCTCGTCCAGATTTCTCGACTCGCAATCATTGACTTTAGATACTACGAGTAGACTTCTTTTGCTCTTTTGTAAAATCTGGAACATATGTCATGTCGACGAAATACTTCCCTTCCATTCTATTTTAAATAAGTTTTTCAGTATTTGGTTTATTTATCCTAATATTACCAGTAGTACCAGAGAAGAGAAAGTTTACAAGTCATCCATTATAATAGATAAAAGGATGTTGATATAAAAGAATAATGATGAAGTACACTCTATACACCAGAAATAAATATACAGGGATGATAAGTTTTTAAGGGGTTATACACTGAATGTCGCAAGGGATTCCCTAAATCAAATTTGGCAATTTTGTTATTTAATCTAAGCTATCAACATTTCCATAAAAACACACCCCCGTAGCAGCAAACCCAAGTGCTCACATAAATTAATCTATAATATTAAAACGAAACAGTGTTTTTTATTTCACATTTCTGAATCAACCACTCGACGGATTTTCATGATTTTTGTGTTGAAAGAAAGATAATTTTGAGAACTAGGGAATGTCGAAGCCATAATTTTAGTTTAGGGTCCCAGTTTTTTAGAAATTAAGTTTTAATTTTTAAAAAGTCTAGCAGCCGACGCTAAGATTCTAAACTAGCTTTTGGCATAAAATAATTTGCTTAACATAACAGCTGTAAACATTCAGCTTTTGTGTCACAAATTCAGCATTTGGATAAAAATGTAAAGATATACTCAGGGTTGACTTATTTATACTATGTGTAATGCTAATCATTGATACGTTCAATTCTTCTATAAGAGGATGACAGATTAATTAAATATACATAGTCAAATACTAGGATGTTCAAATTATTTCTTAAAGCAATCTTTGTAATCTTTGATTTGTTTTAGAGCAATATAATTTGTTTTAACAGCTGGTTAAAATAAAACTATGAGGTTATTTTATTTACTCTTATTTTTTCATTGATTATAGGAAATAAGTAAGATTAGTAGAGATAATTAGACCACAGTTTAAAATAGTTTAGACCAAAATTAATTAAACCACAGTACAAATCGAGGCTCTGTACACGAGTCTTAATAAAAAAGGATAAATGCAAATTATTTTACTGCTCCACTTTTCAAGGAAAGATTAGAAAATAACAATATGTTTATATGTTGTAATTCTTCATGGTAGCTTTCTTTTTACAATTAATGTTTGTCTGCTTTAACTTTGTTTGGATTAGGCCCGGAAATATTGATGTCATTAAAAGAAGATCGAGAATAATCCGGAATCTTGATTTTAAATTAACACCACAACCTCAGCCGGGTTTTATACAAAGATAAACAGATGGATGACATAGATTGAACACAATGTCAACATTGACCTACGATACTGCAATGGCCTATATTCGGACCGTGGCCCACTGCGGGTTGATAATATTATTAAAAATAACGTATATTTTATAAATACAACATTATAAACTTGTTTAAATGTATTATTTAATTTTTGTTTCCTTAGTCAATGCCATTCAGTTATGTTTCCTTAGTCTTTTGTTTCCTTAGTCAGAGCGAGGTGAATAAAAACTAGAGAACCCTCCCACTTGTATTATTTTGAGTGAACACTTGTCAGCAAGTGAATAAAGGAAGAGTTCACTTCCACTACAAGGGAACCCTTTTCTGACACAAGACAACTCTTAAAAACATGTGAATAAAGAAAAAACAAACACTTGTCTAGAAAGAGAACACTCTTAGATTTACAAGTCAGGGTCAACCCACACTTGTAACTGTTCACTTGCCCAAAATGGCTGCTTTCATGCATATTCGTGAACGAAAACAATATGGGATTAGAATAAGTATAAGCCCTAACAAGTGCAAACAATTGCTCAGATTTGAAGATGCAAGTGCCCAGACAGCACAGAGTTATCTATAGAATATCTTATAAACTATAAACATATAACTTGGATATTTAAGATATATATAGATTATCAATATCCAGATATTTATATTTGTTAGATATTGCGAAGAAGTTTAAATGTCACTAATTTCTACTTTCAGCAGATATTAGATTTACAATATCTTAAGAACATCTAAAACTGAATATTATACGAATATCTGCTGACAGATCACAAAAAAAATATAATAAATACATAAAACCACAAAATAATAAAGATTTAGTCTGAAAAGCACATTTATCAGTTGAGTATTTTGATTAAACAGTTCATAAAAACAATTTTTTTTTTAAACAACTAGACAAAATTTTATATACACAGAGCAATAAATAAACTTATAAATTAGTAGGCCTGTGTAATTTGTTCATGAATATTCTAAATCTGATTACTTTGGCCACAGAATTAAGCTGTTGCAAACATTTAAATTGCCCAAGTTAAATTGTTTGTTTTTATTATGAAAAACGAGTGTTCTCTTTAAAAAACCAGTGTTCACTACAAGTGATCACTTGCCGGGGCAAGAGGGAACCCTCCGTACCACAAGACAACTCTCGCGAGTGAACTCTTGTGTTTATTCACATGCTATTTAAGAGTAGGCTAGACTTGCTTAGTGAACACTCTCAAGCTATCACTTGTTTTTATTCACCTCACTCAATGCCTCTGTTAACCACGGCCACCTTTAACAGTCAAACCCGTTCAAAAACAATGAAGTTACATAGCAAAGCTATGCCAGTTGCCAGTTGTTTTGTTTGGATCAAGAAAAAAACATAACCTAAAATCAAACCGAGCCCAGATCAAGAATCAAATCAACAAATTAACCTAACCTCAACCTCTAACTTGTCAAAATTGAAGAATAGCCTAATTCAATTCGTCAGTGTAGTATTTTAAACTTTCAAATTACCTGCATGCATGCCCTGACTTATCTTAAATTCATCTTATAACTTATTTTTCTGTAATTTCTTTGAAAGGTATAACATTGCCTGATTTAAATTTTAGGCCTATGATCTGTCACTGTCAGTGATAATATTAATTTCTTAACAATGTATTCATGTAGTACACAACGGAAATCTTGGACATTCCCAGACGAAGCTGGACTACAGAAACTAAGAGACGAAGCAAATAGAAAGTATATCAGTTCTCATAAGATGAAAGAGGTAAGAATATTGTAGCTACTCCATAAGTTAGGCTAGTAATTATATTTATTCATGAAAGGGAACAAGGGCTAATGTTTCCAATGCCTATCTTGCCTATCATAATAACCTACGGTGGAAAAATCTGTAGGCCTACCTTTGGTAGGATTATATGGAGGCCGCCCTTAAACAATGTGCTGCTCGGTTATCATGAATAGAAAGTATGACTCATCTGGTACCGTCCTATTCGTAACAAGACGAGGAAAGTCCTACAAACATATTTATGATAACATAACCGCCACAGCACGCTGTAAGATATGTGGCTTCCGTATAATACCAAAGTAGGCCTACCAAAAAATCAAATTTGAAGAATGTGTTCAAAGTTGCCTAGATAGCCTATTTTTGTCATGCCTCAAAATGATACGCAAACACGTACCATAAACATTTCAAATCAGCTGATTCAGCAAGATGCGAAGCCATTATCTAGTCTAGACTTAACTTAAAAAATCCAGCGGCATTTTTGTAAACAAAACACTAACTTAACTTACTTAAGTTAAAATCTTTTAAGGGAATGCAAACCAAACAACCCAAATGTATGTACCACGATAAGGATCCGCCTCGCTCTGATTTTCAAATTTCGAGCCCACTAACTTAACATAGGAGAGCAACATTATGTCAGTAGGCCTAGGCTACATACATGAGTTGTGGTTTTCTTGGAATTTGACAGAAGTATTTGGAACTATGGCTATTTACTTACAGTACTTTGTTCGTATTTTTTTTATGACAACATTTCCCAGGTTCTTAACTTAACAGTTCAGATATATCGTATATAATCGATACGATATTTCCATTCGGTTGTTTGTGGCCCCGCTTATGCAAGTCTACCCTGATATTTTAACTGTACTTTTTATTTTAGGGTGAAGAGAGTGTGTATTTAACGTCTGCCGAGGAGAGAGTGTTGTTGCTTCACTATCAGCTGCAGCTGAGAGATTTTTGTCGCAAGTTCCACCCAGCCATGCCCAGGGCTGTGGCAGGGACGGCGTTCAACTACTTTAAACGGTTCTACCTCAACAACTCGGTTATGGATTATCACCCTAAGGAGATTTTGTAAGAAATTTAGTAGGCTAACATAGCTGCTGTCATTAATTCACTTAGTGTTTTAGATCTATAAACATGCTTAAGGCTTTTTATTGGTAAGTGTGTGGTACATAGAAAATGTTCTATCACAGCTCTGATTCGTCCGTGTATTGAATGATCAAGAGTTCGGCTTCTAAAAGCCATATCTGTATAACTCTTTAGGGCCTTAAAATTATCTTGCAGTAAGTTATTCTGAAGCGATTTAAATCCTAAAAACACAAAAAAACACTAAAAAAAACTTGTGCCGGAAATACTTGTTGACTAGTAAGGAAGAGCCAGAGCAGGAAAATTCCTATCGCACCCGGGGTCTTCCTTGTTGGGGTGTTGGACTTTGCCTTAGACACCATCGACTAGTGCTAGACACCACTTAATTGTACCATTGAATGTTTCCTCTGTACCTTACTTCTCCGTGGTTCTTTTGTACACAACTTAAAATGCTTCTTCCACAAGCAAGCATAAAATAAAATATAGTTTCTGCTTCTGCATATCATGTTAAATAATGTTATTTCATTCATATATCTAACTTTTTGTTCTTCAATTTCAGAGTCACCTGTGTATTTTTAGCGTGTAAAGTAGAAGAATTCAATGTGTCTATTTTCCAGTTCGTATCCAACATTAAAGGTGAGTACCAGTACACAAGTTTTGTTTAGCATTTATGTTGTCTATGTATTTCATCAACCATGTCCGATTTGTTTATTCCGTATTTTACAAGGGCAGGTAAATTAAAATCTTAAAATTCAGTGGTTCTAAATTATTTGCTGAATATATTTTTACAAATATTATAACAAACATATATATACACACAAACACATGCCAGTGCCGGCCCTAGGGATTGCGGGGTCTCCCTTAATACCTGAAATACGTCTGAATGGGGCCCCCTTGAAAATCGCGGGCCCCAGGCACAGCCTTGTTCGCCTTTATGTAAGGTCTTATATGCCACTGGAATTTAACCATACAAGGGAAAATCACGTACAATAATGTACTGATGAGAACTAATGGAATGTCACCGCATCTCTACAGAATTTACAGCTGTTGAATTTTGATTGCCTTAAAATATATTTTTATCAATTATTTCACTTGTCTCAGGTGACAGAGAGAAAGCATCCGATATTATCATCAACAATGAGATGTTGCTCATGAGACATTTAAATTACCAACTCACCGTTCACAACCCGTTCAGAGCGGTAGAGGGGGCTCTCATCGATATTAAGGTAAGGTATACCAATTCCATGTCTTCGCAACATTAGAATTTCAATGGTCACAAAAGAGTTTCCTAGATAAAGAGTTCACACAGTGTGCGAAATGTAGACTACTGATCAATCGCTCTCAACATTTTCTTTGGGACATTTGACATTTTTAATTCATAAGGCTGATCAATTGGTTATTATTTTATTGAAATGGTGAATTAAAACAATTGTAAAATGGTTCAAAAGTTTTTTTTGTTGTTGTTATGAAATGAATAACTTAACATGTGACAAAGAATAGATTTTGGCCAGACCTAGATAATGTGCTATGAATTATTAGTAAAATAAATATAGCCTAAGTTTACCAATAAATTTTAAGCATGTGAGTATTGCAGCACAATATTTAGAAGTAATGAGTGTAAAGGATACAGAATTATATGAAGTGATATGTGCGCAGACACGCAGCCAACTGCTTAATGCAGAGAGACTGCGGCCGAGTGTGGAGGACGCGTTGGACAAACTGTTCCTCACAGACGCCTGTTTGTTGTTCGCTCCGTCCCAGATAGCATTGGCAGCGATTCTCCACGCAGTCAGCAAACTGCAGGAGAATCTTGACTCTTTCGTAACGGAAATCTTGCTGGGACCGACACATCAGGATTACATTGTCCACATCATTGAAATCATCAGAAGTAAGTTTACAGAAGTTGTTTAGCCACATAATCCCTGATTTGGTGAGATTGTTTGTGCCTTTGTAGTATAGTTGGCAACAGAAAGTAAAAAAGGCTGTTTGGTTTTTATTCTGCAAGTTACAGTTTTGTTTTGACAATTCGTTGTTTGGTTGTTTGTTCTTTCAAGTTAGTCCTCACTAGATGCGCTTGTTGCATCTTTTTGACAACTTTTACCTGCAACAAATAAATTAAATTAATATAAATGGCTATAAAATAATAGCTTATTAGTTTTTACTCACCTTCTTGCTTCTTGCAAAATAAAAGTAACAGTTTCTTGCGAGAATTCTTCACTGTGACCATAGTATTCTTACTTATCACCTGAAATGAGATAATTTGTTAGTGAGAGGAAGAATGCATGAAAACATGAAAGTATAGGCCTACATTCGTTAGCTGTTCTATATTCTTTGATTTCATGATATGATATGAGCTATCAATGAATTGGGAGGTAGGATTACCTGATGACAGAAAATTAACAGTTGGTAGTATTTTGTTTTAGCTATACCCTTTGCAATATGGGAGTGCACTTGGAAATGGTTTTTTAAATGCCATTTAGGCGCACTCCCATATTGCTAAGAGTATGTGTATAAGTAAGACATGTACGTTCAGTTCTATTGACTAACCTGTTCTGCTCCTATTATTGATGTGTAGATTTCCTGATCCTTTGAATCTCATCTCCTTCCTATTGCTCCTCCGTTACTTGGTTCCAAATTTATATGCTACTCTAAACGGGTGAGTTTTTGTAGTTTGTTGAAATTGAAGTTACATACCGGTACTGAAAAATGTACAAGGTTATTGATACAATAAAGAATAATAGTGATACTTACAAAGAAAGAATATCGGAAACTTAAAGATTGTTGGCACAAGAGAATTATTTCTCTTTGCAGGGTTGGTGTAAATTTTCATTTCAATCTGTAAAGAGTGTAGTAGGCCTACTCAATTTGAGGGCGGCAGTAGATTTGATTCCAATAAAATAAAATAAAAACAATAACATTACCAAAAGACGATTCACGTTGTATGAATGTCCTATACAAGAAAAGTTATCTACATCTTTAAAATAGGCATATTTGACTATTTTGATATTTCAACAAATTATTTGTTGCAAACCATATATTGAAAGAAGTATTTAGTTTTTAGACCCAGTAAATTTTCAACATTCACTCGTAATTATGTCTTAAAGGTATTTGACACTCTCAATGTTAACCCCTTTATTCTCAATAAATAAAAGGTCCTCTTTTGAATGATTAAGAATATTATTGTATTATTAACATCAGTAATAACATGTTTTGGACTACAAATTTCGCTATTAATGCATTTTACAGAAATACGCAGCATGATAAAAAGTTTCGAACCTCCTGCCCGAGATGTCATCAGAAGTCTTGAAAAGCGAGTGGAGCGATGTCGAAACCAGGAGAATAACCCAGACAGTCAAATGTGAGTTAAGTCCATCAATATTTTGGAAACAAAAACCTTGGTTAACAAACCCAATTCTATTGTTCAGTTATTAAATAGCAGATTTTGAAATCAGATCAACTAGTGTACCTACCTGTTGCTCGAATTCGAGCAATTGCGAAGCATTACAGGCGTTTTTTTTAAATAATTTCCGATGACTTTATAAGAGTCAACTCAAAGATTATGGAAATACTCAAGATGTACACAACAGTTAGATATAATTAAAATTTTTTGTAAATATCTTATCTTTTTTCAAAAGCTGACCTCGTTTTTTAGTGTTTTCTACAAATGCTTCCCACTCATAGCCGCATTAGGTTGTCTATAATAACTGAAAAAATTATAAACTGTTTTTGATTATAAATGAAAAAAAACAATATTTCTATTTCTTCTACTACTGTACTTGGTTGTGTTCTATGACTTTCCTGTTTCCATTGTTTGCAAATCGGCTCTTTCAATTATTGCTCAAGAAATGTAGCACAGTGTTAATTCAGTTTTATTTTGGCGTATTTAGGATATCAAATTGTCCACAATTTCTCGCTTTTTTCCATTGTAATTTTAAAAATGACACCAACCAAGTATCGTCTACTACAGATGCAATGCGCCAAAGAATATCGTCTACGTGCAATCTCGAAGAAGTGGTAAAAAGACAGAAACCAACCCATACAATAGATATAAGTTAACTCCATAAGAAATAATTTTAAGAGTTACTGTGATATTAGGATTTTCCACTGATTTGGTAAAAGACATTATATTGCAAAACATAGCACGATTCAGATGAAAATTGATTTTAAAATCAGCAAATACCATTCATTGCAAATACTTCATTTTGACAAATTATGAGTAAATCACTATTTAAATATTAACAGCTGTTTCATTAAAAAGTAGTGTAAATGTATGCATATGGTCGTGATGTAAACAAATCTGCTGAGGGGACTTTAAAGGCCTCTGGGGCAGAGCCCCAAGGGAATTTACATCGTTTCTCTTTTGATGGCTCATCTACAGACCAAGACCTTTCTTTAGAGACCTCTACCGAGTTTCTACGCCCAGCCTTTCTCTAAAATTAGCTGTGTCAAAAACCCGTTTTCCCCCCATAAGAATAACATGGGATGTGAATTTAAAGGCCACTGGGGCAGAGCCCCAAGGGAATTTACCACGTTTCTCTTTTGATGGCTCATCTACAGACCAAGCCCTTTCTTTAGACACCTCTACCAAGTTTCTACGCCCAGCCGTTTCCTCAAATTAGCTGTCACAAAGAAAAACAGTTTCAAATTAATATATAGATTCAATTATTACTTGTAAGACTTGTTGTTATTACTTGTTGGTCATCACTGGCCAGGCGGGTTTCGAAGCTTCTACCATCATGGTACCTTAGAATCCATCTTGCTCAGATTTTGCTTGACTTTCTAAACAATTTTCCTATCTACGCTGCTAGTGGCATTTGTAACATTTTTTTAAAGAAAATGTTCCAAACCCTAGTCTTGTTACTGTCTAACATAAATATAAATAAATTGTAAATTGTTCTGTCGTTAAACGTCATTCATTGACAGCCTAGTGACAAATAGCATTTGGTTGGATTTGAACCAGCGACCTTCAGATTTGAAGACACTATAACCACAGGGGTGACAATCATCCGAAATTCTGTAATATTATCATTTATTTACTCTCTTATAGAACCATTCTTTAAATTGCAACTAAATTAAAACAAAAATCTGAATTTTCAACTTGCCTACAGCAATGATAACTTGATGGTTTAAGTTTTTCATCTAAAACATTATCCACACATTTAGATAAACGTATATACATACTCGGAGTGATATGACAGTTGAAAAATTTTAAATTATTTCAATTTCGTCTCTTACAGATACAAAGATAGACTGAGAGATATTGATGATGATGAAGATTTTGGCTACGCTAGTCGACCAACACAAGACACAGAAAAAAACATGAATGAGATAGGAATTTCTAGCCTCAGCTCAAATTCTAGCTAGGTTTCTCAAAACTGTAAAAAAACTTTTAAAAAAATCAAAAGTTTTGTATCGAAATATATTTATTTTTTACTTCCATTTTGGTTTATTAATTCCCTCTGAATAAACCTACAAGTACTGTGTTTGTGTTAAGTTTTCAATAAACTGTGTTAGCGTAAATTAATTCATTTTCTACATTTATCAGTTATGAATTTTTTCGTACTGATTTAGTATATATGATACTTTTATATATGTTTTCCCAACGGTCCCATACTATTTTTTTGATAAACTTAAACATTAAATAGGAAAGACAAGATGTTTTCCCAACGGTCCCATACTATTTTTTTGATAAACTTAAACATTACTTCTAATAGGAAAGAGAAGAGATTTGGCGAAGTTAGTAAGAAGGCATCTGTGTTAAACAATAAATTGTAACATCTGCTGGGAAACGACCATGCTTGCAACAGCTTTTCTTGTCTTTTAACTTTGTCTTTAAATTTTAATTGTAACTTCAAGTTGTTATTTTCAGCTAATTTATTTCATTCTGTGTCATAGACACTAATAATGAAACAGACTATAGACCGATCACAAAATTTAGGCGGTTTGACCGGAAGTTCCCAATTTTTTCAATGTATATCTCGCTACTGATTGACGTTTACGCAAATCTCAGCTGTTGAGTTGTTGTTTTAAAGGTAAGAACAAGTGGAGGAATACATTCCTTCTCCTAAAACCGCCTAAATCTTGTGAACAAAGTATAAATAGAACTGTCCAAGCAATAGGCAGCTATTTGCGATAGTGCCATTATATCCACACATTATATCCAACATTATATCCAACATTATATACTGGTATATGCACTTCTAAAACCGGTTACATAATGACTGTTGAAAAACCTGTTTAAAAACCCCAAGAGATATTTTCGCCATAAAAAGTGTCTAAATGTTAGTTAAGAGGTGACCATCAAACTACAAAATAAAATTTCCTGTGAAATAACACAGAAAGTCATTTACATTATTTTACACACTATCCATTGTCCCAAATAATCCTTAAATTTAGTGTTTGGATTAACGATTGAATTCATTATAAAAATACCATTCTTTTTTTGTTATTGTTTTCCTATAATTTAGTTTATAAAATATTTAACTTACAGTACTGCTTTATTTTTATAATCGATGTTTTAATTCATAAATATACTAACTTGTTCACTAAGTCGTATTGCTATTTAATTTTTATTTTACATCTAATAAGGATGTAATGTTATTTGATGGTCCTGGAACTACGTTTTGCTCAGCAACAGCAATTAAAGCTCTCAAACTTGTATTTTTTGCATATACGCACCATTTGCCAAATCAACGTGTCACCAAATTCAGGGAGAATGTGAAATGTGGATATTTTAAATCATATTTTCTACCTCAGCATTTCGTGACAGTATGAGTGTGGTCTCCAGCTATTGACAGATGCTGATGCTGACAAGAAGCTATTAATTGACAGCTGTTCTGACCATTGCTGATCATACAATACTAGCTCCCGGCCACTCATTATAATTTGCTTGATCTAATGTGAGTGTAACTGTCAACTGCTGTTTGATATTATTCACCAATCAGTATTTAAATAAAAAAATATTTGTTGTAGAGGGATTAACTTTGATCACTTATAATATTTTGTTAGCCTGTTTTTCAATCATTTCGTATTTCTTATAAAATGGTTTAGGCACCCACTAAAAAATGTGCGTATATATTTTTTTATTTACAAACCTCAATTTACAATTTTATTAATACATTTTAAATTTCTATTTTTGAATGAGTGTGTCGTAGCTAAAATTAGTGGTAAAACTACTTAAACACATTGAGTTACTTTGAGCACTTCGAGTATCATGGAAACCAATAACTGTAGAGTATTTATATAACCTTTAAAACTGTGTGTATTTCAAGCATAAGGCATTGAAATTAATTTTGGTGGTAGGAGATTCCACTGTAATAGTCAGAAAAGGCTGGTTCATGAATTATTTCAAAGTTCAAACAGGTGTTGCTTTACTCATTGATATATTTTATCGAAAAACTTTTATCAGATTTACCTTGCCTATGAAAAAGACTTATCTTATCTTCTGGGAACAAAAAATGTGTGTTTTTTTCCCAGGCATAAGTATTGTGGATCTTGAATATTAGAATATTGTTTAATAGATAGTATTTATTTATCAAATGTGAAATGTGCCATTTTACATTAGAGTACGGTAGAATATGATTAGAAAGTTTTGGCAACAATAAGTAACCAAACTATTATTCTCCTAAGAAACATTAACTGAAATTCATCAGGAATTTGTTTACATTTTTGTATGTAGTAGAATGTTAGGTCTAACATTTTCTGTATCTTTAGCTTAGCTAGTTAGTCTCTTGAGCCTTTTCTAACTCTCCAAGTGTTAATAGTTTCTAGTTTACCCTCTACATCAGTTGAGAAAACACAAGTGTTAATGTGTCTCAAAGGTCAAACAACTACCAAGTAGTTACTAGACTTAGACAAGATTGTAAGTTTGTTAGTTGTCAGTAAATAGCTAGTCAAGTAACAACATGCTTAACTGGAAATAGACCTCTCAAGAGATACCCATACTTAAAACATGTAACTTTACAGTACCTATTCAAAGTTTTTGTAGGGAAGAAGTAAAAAATGTAATTTTAAAACACATAAATGGTGAGGTAATTAAGATGTGTACAATATTTTAATATCCAGAGATCTGTGAATAATTAGGTACAGTAACATACTTAAATAGCAATTGAAACTAAAAAAACTGGTTGAATAGTTTTGATAGGGTAATTAATTATCAAGCACTTTGCTGAATGTGTAAGTAGAGTTTTTTTTAAAGTTAAATGTTAGTTAGTTTTCAAGTTAAGTAAGTATATATATTAAAAATACAAAACTTTTTTTTAATATCAAAACAAAGATTTGTCTTCTTTGATACTAAAAAATTGTAATATGACACTTTAATTAAAATAGCAACTAATAAAATGAAAAATAAATATCACTAAAATATCATAATTTTAATTTATTTATTTTAAATTTTATTAAAATATTTAATAAAATAATGGCAACTGAAAATCAGAAAACTTAAATACAAATTTATCGATATTTACAATTAATTTTAGCAGACAAAATCAAATTTTTATTTACTAGTCAGTGCTGGAACGAATAAATGCATCTTTATGAATAAAATGTATTTAACTAGAAAACGTTTGAATATATTTGTTACCACTGTTTTAAATAGCCAGAAAATGAAACCCCTACACAAGTCTTTGCGTAAGACACATTTAGAACATTATTATTCCACCCTAATGGTTCTAATGCATGTGAAGTATAGAGCTGGAGTTAAAGGGTGGAAGCTGTTTTAACCCCTCGTTTAAATTAAACACTCATTCCTGCATGTGGCACGCAGAGAGGTGGAATGACCAATTTTATACTTGATGATTTAAATGTTACTGTTACGTTCTAACAACTGTGAAGAATTAAGTTCCTGTTAGTTTTTAAAGCTGTAAACCTTCTTGCACTTATTATGTAAGTAATAACAAACAAATGGTTAAGTGATTACTGAATAATTATTTGATATGTACAATTTTTCGTCCACCTAGAAAAAGTTTATAAATTCAACTAATTTGAAGTAAAGTAAAGAAATTCAACTATAAACTTCATTATATGTACCTAAGTATTAAATACATATTCATTAAGTTTGTTTTGTTTTTGTATAACAAGTTTTATATCAAAAATAATTTTAGAGTTAGCAGGTAAAATGTTAGCAATTAATGTTACGTAAAATTGTGATCTTTTACCATAGTGATTTACTTGAAAACATTTCCAAAACCAACCTCCCTTCTCAACTAAAGTTACTGTCGTATAAGCCCAATCAGTAGAGTAGTTAAGTTGAAAACTTGTACCCAATCACTTGACAGCTATAATGGCTGTAACAGCTGGGCGACTCTCCCCAGAAGTTGACCGGATTGTTGGGGCAGGCTTAATTTAATTAAGCTGCTGACAGCTACAGTAGAAGCTGCGACAACTTTTGGAACTCGGCTGCTAAACGTCTTAGCAAGTGTCTCAGAATAATCTTATTGCACTTATCCAATCTTATTTTGTCAACAGATGGTCACTAAGAAAACTCTTTGAATAAAAGCTTTAAAGTATCAGTACTATCTAGTATATAATACCATTACATTTTTGAAAACATTTATTAATTTACCGGTATTTATTTATAATTTATTAATTTATCAATCTAAACGTGTTATTAAAACAGAATGGGACGGGATTGTGTAATAAAAATAATACAAGTATTTTAAAACTTAACAAATTTTGTTTCATAAAATATTTTTTAATGTTATTTTGTATTTTGTAATGTTTTATTATGAATTTTTTCCCCTCTCAAAAGGACATTTAAATTTCTAACGGTCAAATAAAAACGGAAATGATTATGATACATCAAATAAAAAACAGGCGAAGAAACAGCAACAACTACACGATTACGTGGCTTATAGCATAGCCTCCATGGAAGAACAGGAATTTAACTTTGTTTGAAAAGAGATAGCTAACTTACCTGTACAGAAGTACTGTAAGTACTGGGAAAACAGAAGAAGATAACTTCTTCAGAGAGTAGGTTTAAGAGAAACATTTCCGAACATTTCTTTTCAACTTATCTTCTGAAGAACTCCTACATTTAGGACGAGATATCATAGTATTATATTTTGTGTTCTTTTACTGCCTGTCTATTAGCCCCTGGACGCTAATTTTCTCAGGTAAGCTAGCTATAGCTACACTCTATTCGTTTAAAAAAATTCCATACTAGCCAGTTGGCTTTCCTCTAAAATATTACTTTAATTAATAATACCGGCAGTATTGATGATATATTTTGACATGAAAAAGGAAAAGGAAACAGCTCGTTCTATTTCAACACAGTATCTGAGAATCTGAATCTTCATAATACACCCTATATGTAATTACATTCTGTAAATTTACCCACAGCTTTCATAATTGTATTACTGTAGATTTAACAAGAGACATGTGTTTTTACGCCAACTCAAACACACAAGTAACACCTGCTATTTGTCTAACACTACACACTG